AAAAATCTGCAATATATTAAATTTTATAGTTTACTGACATATGTTTGATTAATTAGTCCGTTTATCACCCTAACTTCTCACTGCAGTTCTAAGTACGTATCAATATATGTATCATATATTAAAAAAAAGACATTCATATATATATATTAACTAAAAATAATATTAAAATTAGCTCAAAATGGGAGTATTATAATTTACGGAGGTGTGACATTAATTCATACACCAGTGTCTCCTGATTTAGCGGTATTGAATATAAATACTTGGGAATGGTCTATTCCAAATATACTTCAGAAAGATGCTCCTCCATCACTCGAATTACATTCTGCGACAATATTTGATAATTATATGATCATTGCATTTGGTACTGTAATAGCTATTGTTATTTTTTATTATTTCATAAAATGAATATTAAAAACAAATATTATTCGCTTAGGCTTTTTGACATCCACGATAACCTCACAAAGCTTCACAGATGATAGCCGTTTTTATATCCCTGTAAAAAAAATTCAATTGTATTTATTTTCCATATTATTTCCAGAAATGAATCATATTCCTGGAATTTTTATTGAAAATTTATGGAAATTACAAGGACTTACTCGCAAAATTCGGAAGAATTCCAGAAAGGTCTCAAATTAACGGAGTTTTTATTTATAAAGTGGAACTATAACGGACTTTTTTTTTTATAGGGTATTCTTGATATAATAAACTACACCTGGGTTACTACAGCAACAATAAGCAAACCTCCAATTTCAGCCAGTACTGAAATTCCTCCATTGACTATTGGAATTATCGCTGGTTTAGCTGGTATTATTTTAATTGGAATAATTGCTGGAATTGTTGGAATATTTGTCTATAAAAAACGAAAAGAACGTCGTTACTCTATTGCGACGCCTGGAAGTATGAATACATATATATGATAATCCCATGCTTGCTTATTTAATTTATAAGTATAATAGGCTATTATATTCCATACCATTGTTTGATTAAAAAATATGAGTTTCCCTTTTAGTATAAACCTGTATTATCCTATCTTAATTATTTTAAGATCTCATATAAATGTTTTTTAATAAAAACTTAATCTCAATAATAGTGTAATACATTAATTTCATTGATATTCTAGTCTCGCTCTAATAAATTCTCTATTTCAAAAAGTTACTGTATAGGCGCGTATTAACGCACATAGCCGCTTTTTCTAAATTCCATTTTATTAAAGATTGTATATTGACTCAAAATAACACACACACCACATGAATAGTTTCAGTAAAGTTTTTAGTAGTTGTAGCTTTTTCCTTCATAATTAGGATAATGATTCGAATTATATATATCATTCAATTTTATAAAATTTAATTCTCCGGCTGAAGCGTGCATTGCTCTCTCAGCCAGTTATTATTAATTAAAATTAGAAATAGTGTCACGGGTTTCGTGACATAAGAAATAGGGCTTAGATTTTTTTTATTATATTTTTTATTTATTTATTTATTATTATAGTTTATATATATTTTATCTTTTATTTATCTATTTATGAGAGAAAAAGGGCGGGTAACAATTGTGGACGGATGTCAACAATTGTGAGTAATGGTGAATCGGTCACAAACAATTGTGGGCGATAGTTAGCAATTGTGAGTAAAGGTGGCCAAGTGGGTACAATTGTAAGTGAAAGTCTTAGTAGTAAAAGTTAAACATAGCCGCGGAAGTAAGGAAGGATGATAGAAGGAGGTAAAAACTATTAAAAAAAAAAAAACGTCGTAGTATTAGGAAACTAAAATGTATTTAAAGCCCGAGATTTGTCCTTAATAAAAATTCTCTCAGACTTCAATGTTTTTAGAAAAGTAAAACTAAGAATCGACTTCTCATTGTTGTTAAGAAACTGTCTAGTGAACTTTGAATCTTTTATATTTTTATTTTTTTTACTTCTATTTTTCTTTATTTATTTTTATTTCCATGTTGTTACGCATATGCCCTAGAACTATTTCTAAATGCTACATAATCTTGAACCGCTTATCTTAGTCTCTGCCCATTGTTAAAAACCCAACCCAGAGTATTATTATAAGGCTATCCGCCCCAACTTCTCAAATAGAACTGTCCTATTGTCTCATAATTACCTTAAATTCTATCGTCAGCCTTAGCTACTCTTTTTAGTATACCCTTAAATTACGTGCATAACCCAAATCGTGACCAATTTAGTAAAAACCCGATCGTGATCTACGTGAATTAAGACTCTAAATTACATATCTCACGTGTCTAACAATCGTAACGAAGAATACATATAAATCTATTAAGTTAACTATTGGAGCTAAATCGCCCTGCAAATTATTATCGCTCTTCCAAACAATAGTAATATTTGGTGCCAATTGTGTGGAATTGAATAATTAAAACAGAAAGATTTTAATCAAAGACAGCTAAAAATTAAATACAAGATGGCCCAACCGCTGCAACAACCCCAACCCCACAGCAGCCCGCTTTTAACCTAAATAACCCTCTGCACAACCTGGCACATCAAATCGCCAACCTGGCCCAACAAATGCAAGCTACTCCATAGCCACAAATTACTCTACCAATGAACCCTAGGGAACTTAATACGATACAGTATCTAGAGTTCTATGGAGGAGATCAAGACCTGATAACCTGGTTAGAAGACATAGAAAAAGCTTTCGAAGCTAATTTGGTAACACCACCACTATGGAAAATTTCAGTGATTGTACCAAAGCTAAAAGGACCAGCTGCGACATGGTGGATAAATCGAAGAAATCAAATACCGATTATCAACCAATAGCGTAATCCTTTGGTACCCCCATCAGAGTTTTGTTGTTCATTTTGTAACCAAATTCTGAACACCAAAATTAGAAGGAAAGTGGTTTCCACAGTTGACACAAAGAAAACAACTACCTGGAAAAAATGTAGATGATTATCACACTGCAATAGAAGAGATGATCCGGTGGGTAGAATCCGGAGGACATCAATATCTAGACACTGCAAAAGCCCAAATGTTTATTAATGGGTTATGTCCAGAACTTTATACGGCAGTGTCTCCATTAACCCCCAACACTTTAGAGGAAGCTTGCACTCATGCTAAAGCTTTTGAAAATGCTTACAAGAGCAGTCCTATGTATACAGCTCTCTTGGATCAACCTGTAATACATCCTCCATATACCCTTTCTGGTATGTTAGGGACAATAACTACCACAACTTCGAATGTAAACAGGACTGAAGATGCATTGAATAGGCTAACTGAAGCCATTAATAGGATGATGACGCAACGGCAAGAACCAAGGAGACCTTTCCGACCTCAACAACCTGGTGTTTCTAATAACCCACCTCAAGGAATTGTATGTTATAACTGTGAACACCCTGGACATATAGTCTGTCAATGCTCCAACCTAGTGGCCCCTACTATTAATGGACCGACAACTCAACTTCCTATGCCTCTGACAACTCCCATACAAACTACTCCTGTTCAACCTACTCCAACAGTTAATAGTATTAACTCCCAAAGCCTTATTGGCTTTAATAAACAATAACCATAACCATTCTATTCGAGTTGACATGCATACAGGCGTATGCATAGTCAATAGATCGAAAAGATGGCTAAGCAGGGGTAAGCTCTTCG